TTGTCTTTCTCCGCCTGGCTTATCTCACTGAGCATAATACTCTCTAGATCCATCCATGTTGTTACAAATGGCAGGATTTCTTTTCTTTTTATGGCTGAATGATATTCCATTGTGTATATGTACCACATGTTCTTTATTCAGTGTGGGTAAAATTGCAGTATTTCCAGAATCTCTTGCCTGGCCTTAGTGCATCTCCACATCAGTAGGTGTTTCCAAGGGGTGGAGAGAAGTCCATCTCTGTATTAATAGGTGATCACAAGGGGGCTGGGAAGGGAGTGCACATCTGGACCTGAGAGGTTTGGTGGGGTCTTTTTGTAGTCAGGTCACAAGGGACACAGGGAGCAGAAGTAGATGACTGCATGTAAGCAGTAAATGGGTTTCTCCCACTTTATTTCTCCCATTGACTGATTTTGGCTTCAAAGGCTATTTGCCTCAGAGTAGGAACATATTTCTTGACCCCCACCCCACCCCCACTTATAATCCAATCATCTACTTATGGACACTTAGGTTGCTTCTGCATCTTGGCTATTGCAAATAGTGTGGAAATATGTGCAAACATATGGGTTCCTATATTTTTTCAAATCAGAGATTTTGTTTTCTTCAGGTAAATTCCTAGGAGTGGAATTACTCAGTCAAATAGTTTTTTTATTTTCAGTTTTTTGAGGAACCTCCATACTGCTTTCCATAGTGGTTGCAATTTGCAGTCCCACCAACAGTGTAAGGAGGGGTCCTATTTCCCTGCACCATCACCAGCATTTGTTATTTCTTGTCTTTTGGATAGTGGCCATTCTAACTGGTTCAAATGTCAAACTTTTATGTGAATGATTTTCTCCAAGAACATATAAAAATCCTCTTAATTTTCACATAAAAAAAAAGTCTGGAAGATTCAACACATGGACTGTCTGGCATATCCAAAGTCAGACTTGATTTAACCATATACCAAATATGGTTCAAGTTCTCATAGTTCTACTCTCTTTAGAAAAATCTGGAAAGATATCCAATGGCATTTCCAAAGTACACTTGGTAGTTCTTTGATGGGTGAGATGAATATTAGAAATTCATTATTGAGCTCAACTCTCTGATTGTACGGTTTGACCTTCATAGTAATCCAGTCACACTGATTTTCTAGACACGATCTTGAAGGCAATTCTAAGAAAGGCATTCTAATAATGTTTTAAGCAGTAGAGGCACCCATATGCCTCCTGAGATAACTACTTTGAAGTCCTTTGAATAATTAAGTTCTGATACATGTTGAAATTCAATTTAATTCTAACTAATCTGTATTTGAAGAGCAGCAAACATGATCTCTCATGATAGACCAGCAGCTTAAAACTGGCCTGAGCCATTAAGACATTTTTTAACAACTTCAAGAAAAAAATTCCTTTTTATTCAGATGTCAGGCATATCTTCTCAGAAGTCTACTTTAATCCCCATTAATCATATGCTATTAGAATAGACAATTAGGCTTATTCTAAGAAAAATATTACAGTTCTTTACCACCTGAGCTTGAAGGAAAAAAGAGAACCTCATTCTGCCATGACTTAAGGGCTGGGTGTGTGGCAACCCTGTATCCCCATGTAATCAGAGGAAGTTTCTGGGAAATGCTAGATTTGGAACTGATTGTGGAAGAAAGAAAAGCATAATAAGAAGGCATGAATCTGGCCAATATGAAATAGATATAATTCTAAGAAAAGAGAACATTTATTGAAAAGAAGAAGGAATGATGGGTAGAGAGCGTAACACTTCAGCAGGACCAGGCCACAGCCTGAAATAAGATAGGAGAAGTAGGAGGCCCTTTAAGCTTATGGATATACCATGAAATTTAATGTGGGGGCAATCAAATCTCTGATGGCCTTTGAATGAGGAAAAAAATCATCAAGATGAAGGATATATTAGTTCTTCCTAGTTAGGCGTTTATTAACATCAAGCTCTGAGTTACCTAACCACATTACACCAGGAACATATTTTATAATGAAATGTTTTTCATCGATAACTCACTTTTTTTTGGATAAAAAAATAAAATCAGAAGAGGCTTATCTAAAATACTTAAGAGAATAAACACCTTTCAAATTATATACCCCAGTACATGTAATTAAATCAGTTTAGATCTTGAATTGACACTGAATTGAATGAGACACTGAATTGACAACAACAATGGACCTAGAGGGTTACACTAAGTGAAATGCTAGACAGAGAAAGACCAATACCGTGTGATTTCACTTATATGTGGAACCTACAAAGGAAACAAACAAAACTGAAATAGACTTACAGACACAGAGAACAGACTGGCGGTTGCCAAAGGGAGATGATCAGGGCAGAAAGGGTGAAATAGGTGAAGGCGAAAAAATTAGAGTATTTGCTATCGATCTGGGTGATGGTTATCCAAGTGTATACACATGTCAAAATTTATAAGAAATACTGAATTGAACAGATCAAGTAGTTTTATCTGTTCTTCTAAGAAGTTCCTCATGGATCTGAGAAGACGTATAACCTATAAATGTAAGATATTTATAAACTTAAATAAATCAAATTGTATTTTCATTAAAATATCCTGTAACTTCCTAAAATTGTACGTACCTGGATTAATCTCTCCTGCATGGGTCACTTGTGCTGCATGCTATGCCTTCCGCTGCTGTCCAGAAGATAATTCCTCTCCCAGAACTTCTCGCCGAGGCAGCAGCCAATTGTGGTCAAGTCTGTATCCCATGACTCAGCCAGGCAGAGCTGAATGGACCAATGGTGGATACTGGACCCAAGGTCAGCCAATCACAGGCTGATTTTAAGGTAAGAGGTGGGCTAATGCAAAAGAACTCCCAGTCAGAGACAGGAATGATCAGCTGGACATGTGAGGAGAGACTCAGTCAGGTAGTGGTGGGTGGATATGTGAGAAGACCACAAAATCAAACAGTGAGGAAAGGGTCCAGTGGCCTAGGGGGATGGTGGGGCCCAGGCAGAGGACAGCAAGCTCCTCACCATGCCTGGTAGTATGCTACCTCCGTGAGGCCGGTTGAGCGGCGGTCCTGGGTTCCCAGAGACAGTTTTGTCTCCCTGCTGCCTTAAGTTACTTTGCAAAACAATTCCATTCCTGAAATAGCCTGAATGAGATGCTAGCAATCTTACTGCCCCCTAAATCTAGTTAATACATTGTACAAAATGTGGTAAAACTGTGCTAGAAACTTGAGAGGCAATTTGGTACAAAGAGGTTCAATTGTACCTTTACTAATTTTAGGAAAAACACCTTGGGAAACAATACTGGCCATCCTCTACTACTTCAGTGGGTTTATAAAAATTTATCACCTGACTCAACAGAAACATCTACCCGCAAAACAAAACAAAATCACGTTGAACTTATTGTCTTCATTTCTTGGGATGAAAACTAGGAGGATGAGGGCTTTCTTCCAGAGCGGATGTAAAGTTGCATGGCTTGTTCCTCGCAAATTAGGTTCTTTCTGCATTTATTAAATAGTATGTCACCTGATCGATAGGTCAAAGTATTAATGCTTAAATATTTTCTCTCAATTTTCTTTATTACCAGGAAGGGCAGAAGGTCAAAGTCTTTGGTCATTTACATCGATACTGATTCATGCTGAGAACATTGATCAGGGCACAGATTTCAAAAAGGAGAAGCTAACTGGAGTGTAGCAGAAAAATATACAAAAATGTTGGAACATTGTGTAGAGGGTGCACACTTAAATAGCAGCTGGGGACATGGATTCTAGGCTGTTTTGCCACTAACAAGCTGTATTATCCTGGGCAGGTCCTTTTCTGCATCTGTAGGAGAGAGCTCTGTTTCTGGAATTTTCTGCATTGTGCTACCCCTCCACAAAGAGTGTCAGCTCCGCCAAAGCAGTATTGTCTGCCTAGTCTTGCCTAGGACTGAGTCAGAGAGTAGCTCCTGGTAGGTGCTCAGGAAATATTCGTCGACATTGAACAGTCCATGTTGTACACATTAAAAGGCTTTCTTTTTCATGCATGAAGTCTTAGCTGTTTTACAAAGTGCTTTCACAGAGCAGACAGCCAACATTCACTGGTTTGAAATACCACGTGTGGTTCCCAGGGGGTGCACGCCTTGTTAATACAGAAGTACTGGCATGGAGAAGCCTCCTAGAGTGGGAAGAGGGGTGGCCTAGGAATTGGAAGACCTGGCCCACCACTAACTACTGTGTGACTCACTCTGGGTGCAGGTCATTCCATTTCTCCAAGGCTTTGTTTTCTCATGTACAAAGGGGGAGGGCTGAATTAGACCCTAAGAGTCCTTCTGGTGGAATGCCTCTGACGTTAGTCCCGTTATATCTGTTATATGTAACAAATAGGTTTTAAGGACAGATGAATCCATTGGGAAGGATGGGGGGCTGCACGAGGAAAGATGCCAAGTCATTAGTGCAGAGGCATCATCAGTTCATTAGATACATCAAGACCGGCAGACTCTGCTTTTCATGTGCTCCACCTAAAATCCTTTATGAGCATCAACTGAGGCGAACCTTGTCCTTTCCTGCTCTAGGTTCATCAAAGCAGGTCATTGACCTCAGCCACGTCTGCTGCCACACTCCCTGTCACGGTGAGCTAACATTGGGAGAAAGCCTGCCAGCTGACAAGTCCGTGAAATGTCCGTGTTACTTGAACGTTATGTAAAATGCCCAATTATGGAGATCCTAAGGATTCTGCTATAGCTTTTACTGCAAATTCTGGGTCAATCATATTTTGGGAGTAATGACTAGAGGAGTAACCGGTAGTAAGTTACTACTGACCTCTATACTTTGACCCTAATTTCTTCAGACCAAGGGCCTTTTGATCCTTCAGACTAATGGGTCTTTTGGTTCCATTAGTAAGAGGTTCCAGTTCATTCTAGCATTGCTAAGGAAGGTAATCTTTCAGTTACATGAATGAAGAAAGAGACACATAGTCAAGATAGGGTAGCCAGCAAGACTGTAATTATTCTTGAAAGGGCAATCTTCTGATCAAGGGTCCAGATGGGTGAAAAGACTAGGAAGCAGGGAAGAAAGGAAGCATGAGCCAATCCTCTGTTGGCAGCATGACTCTGTGGGGTCCCCAGTGGCCCAGCAGGGCTACATTAGGGTGGTCTTCCAGGTTTTCACTACTTAAGCTTCCAGTGGACTTTATAATCCTGCAGCTTGCTGGGGGCTTAGTTTAGCCCGTGGGATGAGGCACTCCTGTGTGGGATCAACAGCCTGGAAAGGAAGAAATGTGTCATCAACTTTCTGAGCCAGTATAGGGGATGACACTCTCCAGAACTATGTTTGAAATATTATAATTTCACCATTATTTAATTCTTCATTAATTAAAAAGAAAAGAATAATATCAAACCTACTCTTATCAGAACGTCTTTACTGTCTACTCTCTTAGTCATTAGTAAGAATCTTTGCAAGAGTCTTGAATAGCTGATCACTGGAAATTGAAAGTAATTCAAGGGATTCTTGGAAGGGATAATAAAGATTTTTTTTTATCATGTAAGTGCCCCCCCAGAGGGCTCATTACAGCGATATAGCTATGTCCTGGTCCATGTGCATTCCAGAAAAAGGCAAAGTTTCAGAGAACAGATGAGAGGAATCAGGCTACTTAGAATCGCCAGTACAGTGCATTGAGCAAACAGTCCAAGCATGATTTTTACTCTCAGATTTTGGTCACTTCATATCTCCATAATGTAAGAATTGTGTTTCAGTGCAGTATTTTGGGCCATCTGGATTTGTGCTTTTAAGCCATCTTGGCAGAAATGCAGGTTATCTCCATTTCTACTCAGCCGCGCTCCTGTTTTTGCCTGAAAAGAGTAAAAGCTGGGCATCCAGATGATGAGGACAGACCTAGCCCAGTTCTTGTGGGCAGCCTGGGCTGCTGGAGGTAGACAGTGGCTCAGAGAGGCAACTGTGGGACTTGAGGGATACATTTAGACAAGTGGCATTAAAAACAGAACTGACATTCCTACACAGTCACAACCCCTGTTGTCCCAAGACAGAAAGAAGCAGCTTGCTCTTCTTCACCCTCACACAAACCCTTCCTGCTGCCTTTTCTTTCCAGGGACATTCACTTGCATCAGAATATTTTGCTGGTGGCATGGCCTTGGAGATTGTGAGGGGCTCGGGTGGAGGCAGAAGACTGATTTGCCTTTATTGCACTGCCCAGGAGTGGGGTGAGTCTGGATGGCTGCAGCTCTACAAGCCTGCAGGGGTGACCTGCCCTGCCTCTCCTCTCGGGTCAGCACAGGCATTGCAAATGAAGCCTGACAGCTCTAAGGAAGGCTGGCTGGCTGTGTCCCTCCGCGGAGGGCGCTGACGGGCACATTTACCTGCAGCTGAGTGGGTGTACCAAATGAAGTTAATGCCACATCCTCCTCAGCTCCATCACTGTCTTGGGCTGAAAGCCAAACGAGGGAAGGGCTGGGTTAGTGTCAGAGATTCACCTGGAAACAGCATGTGAGCATCAGCAGACTCAATGGCTTGCAAAGAGGCTCCTGGCTCTTTAAAAAGGAATTCTCAGTCAAGTTATTAAAAAAAAGTTTGATGATTTAAAAAAGAGTGTTCATAAACTTATGAGGATGGATGTGTAGGGCAGCATATGGAATTACTGGGGTTAGTAGCTGAGAAGGCTGAAGGATCGCCATTACTTTCTAGGGAAAGAGTGCCAGCACTGGGTCAAGGTCTCAGCTCCCTTTCTGTTACCTGCATGCTCCTTGGCATCTCACCGTCTTCCACAGTAAAACAAAAGGCCTTAACTAGATAATCTCTAAAGTCCCTCCCCCCGTTTTTTATTAAGGTATCATTGATATATACTCTTATGAAGGTTTCACAAGAAAAACAATGTAGTTACTACATTCACCCATATTATCATATCCCCTGATCCCATTGCAGCCACTGCCCATCAGTGTTCTAAGATGCCACACAGTCACTATTTGCCTTCTCTGTGCTATACTGTCTTCCCCATTATCCACCCCACACCATGTGTGCCAATCATAATGCCCCTCAATGTCCTTCTCCCTCCTTCCCCACCCTCCCTCCCCCTAAAGTCCCTTTAAGCTTGATACTCTACAAGCTCTGATTCTGTTTTAAAAACTGGACATGATTCCTAAAGATAATTTTATACTGTCATAGAATAATCACACATAGTGCTTGCTGAATCTCCTCAGCAAGATTGTGAGCTCTGTGAAGACCGGAGCTGTGTCTGTCTCGAAGGCCAGGTCCTTGCTTGATACATATTTGTTGTCTGATGGTCACGGACGTAGCCATGTCACTTAGCGTGCACACTTAGAGGCTGTAGTGTTGAGCACCTGGATGCTGGAGCAGGGCGGTTCGGCTCTCTCACTTGTTAGCTGTGTGCCTAGGACCAAGTCCTTTAAACTTTTATTGCCTTTGTTTCTTGATGGGAATAAAAGGGATAACCATGATCATAGTAATAAATCTATTCACAAGGTTGTTTTGAAGATTAAATCAATCAGTATAAAGAAGGGCGTGATATATGAAAACCCCATAATGCTGTACTTTATATATTATTACTGATGGTGGTGCTGGTGGTATAGTTATAATTGATGCTCTGACATTGTCCTCTTACTGCATTTTTCAGAGCATTGGGCCCTGTGAAATATGAAAAGCTCTTCTTTCTTTCATGACAGAATGAACAGAACCCTTGGCTTAGCTTTCTTCCTTTACACTCAGCCCCTTGGTAACCAGAATCCACCCAACATCCTCATCAGACCAGATCATAAATAGGAGAAGCCTCATTCTTCACCATAGTTATCATTCATGAATTTACGGAGAGGCTGAGCATTTCTTTCTATATTAATCCTTCTACCACCTCATGGTATGAAATCACAGTTGAATAAGGCAGGCAGGGACATTACAATCCTCACTTAAAGACAAGGAGCCTGAGCTCCTGAGGAGGTTGGGGAGTAAGGTTTGGTCTCAAAGTTGGTAAGAAGCGGAGTTGGCCAGAAGGCCAGGGCCCGAGAGGCCAGATTCTGTGCTTTCTGTTTCCCCATGCTGCCTGATTACCTCATGCAACCTGAATCTCTGTGAGCATCGTTATCCTTGCCTTACGTGTCCTCAGACCAAACAAATCCTGCTCAGACCCACTGTCTTCATCCCCCCTTTATGCCAGCTCTCTCTCTCTGTGACCTGTCGCTCTTGAGGGTGGGTGACAATAGAGTGATTTGTGATTTGTTCCCTTGAAAGAACAAACAAAAATCACACAGCTGGGACCATGCAAATCAGGTTTCTTCTTGTAAGAAGGGTGCCTTGAAGAAAAATATGTTGAGAATTGTCGAAAGGGTTATTTTCAGCAAAACCTGAAGTTTGCTGTAAGGAAAACAATGCAAAGGGCCTAACTATCCTGGAACATTTTCCTCTTGGTTCACGTAATTTTGAATTAATTGGCCCAGTTTTACATTGCATACTCATTATTTCTGTCTGAATACCTTCAAAAAGGATCATAGTATGTTTGTACACAAACACCAGACATAAAAAATGCCCACAATAATGTAAGTCTTTAAAATATACATCAGCCTTGCTTTTAGAAAACTTGATAATAACCATAGTGCAAGTAATCTAACACAGATAAAGCAGGCAATAATCAGAACAGGAGATTTCCCTTCATTATAAAGATTCATCACTGATATTCTATATTTAAGATCTCTGCAAATTATTATATCACATCAGTTCAAAGAGCAACTGATTTCAAAAGTTCAATCAATATACAGCTTTTTAGGAACTCATTTATAACATAGGGCAAATAATATTTATACCCATTTGTTTGGTCTCCTGTAGGAACATGCCTGAATGCGTTTTCATTCTCCACTGAAATGTTTTTACGTCTTGGAATTAAGTCCATAAGCCACTTTAGAAAGATAAAGTTTAATTTTCTTTGAAAAGACTCCCAGAGAAATGGAGTCCTTAATCCCTTGACTGATCTATTTTAGTGTTTACAAACTGTTATTTTCCGTATTTAATCTAAATCCTTCATGCTTCAGTTTGAGTTCATTGTCTTAAGTTGGAGACAGAAAACAGCAGGACAAAAGCCTCTTAGAGAGAGGTCTCCATGCTGTGAATTCCCTGCTAATGCCCTCTTGTCTCATTCTCCTTTTGACTGAATAATTTGAGTCCCACAACCCAGTGGTAAATCAAGTGAATATGTGACTGGAGTCCCAGCTACAAATAGTATTAATCAGAAGAGTCACAGGACAAACGCATGCCTCATGGACTGGAACCAGATGTCAAGTTTTAGCACAGAATTTAGAGAGAGAGGACTTGAACAGTCCATGAGAAAGGTGTGTGAAGAACAACCATCTCGATTTAATTGTCTTAACCTTTCCACCTAGGTCAGATGTTCTAAACCCTTTAATCAATGCCATGGTTTTCCACCCAGCCTCTCTAATTCCCCACACTTCTCAGGAGTGGATCCCAGCGCTGGAGCAGCTATTCTTGCTAGACACTGACCAATGCCGAGTACAATGGGCTGACTCTCCTTGCCGCCCTCCCATCTGTTTGTATAGTCCTGGGACTGTTCCAGAGCAAACAAAAGCAGAGACAGTGGTTAGCTGCTTGCCCACTGTTGGCTCATAACTTATCATAACAACTCTGGAGTTTTCAAGTTAATGTTATTAAACTCTACTCTTCTGGCTCTTAATCTGTTTGTATACTTTTCCTCCTAGGTGTAATCCTGAGCTTTTTAGTGAGTTTTAATCATTTTTCTAATTTTTGATGTTTGATATTCAGGTGACCTGCATTTTGTTTTTATTCTCTAAGCTTAAGTTTCAGATTATTTGGCTCAATTTTGGTGAGCAATCTATATGTTCTTTACCATGCTCTTGATTGCTTTGGTCACAAGATATCAAAGTACATTGACAATGACTAGGACTGGCAGACTATTTCCTGCTCAGGAATGGATGTTCTAACCATGCATGTGTAGTAAGGGTAGTACCAGGAATCGTTGTGCTTTTGCAAGCCCCTTGCTCTTCCACTGAGACACTTCTTAAAACACTTTAAACACTTGCTTAATATTTTAGAGGTATAGAATATTGGTCACTACAAGTCCCAGTGTATTTTGGGTTATTATGAAACTCTAAGAACTCCATTCTTTCTCACTCTGGCTTTTGTTTCCGGGAACACATAACAGCAGCAATAAAACCAACACAAGAAGTTTTATCCTGTCTTCTGGTGAGAACTGTGAGAAGTAGTTTCAAGGAGGACTGACTATGCAATTCAGCCTTAACCATAGTGATGCGGTGACACACCACCAGTGAGCAATGAAAAGCTATTACAGGAGGATGTATAGTGTCAACTTCCGACTCTTGGTCAACTGAACTGAAAAGGATTAATGGATGCCTCTATCTGAACAGGATTTAATTTGAATGTTTAATTAGCCATAGATTACAGTTCAGAAATGTGTATGCACTTAAAAGGAAGGCTTCTATTGGTTTTTTTGAGTGTGGTGAACATTATGTGTGCTGTACAATATATAAAATAGCATCATCTTTGCACATTAGAAATACATTGTGAGTAATCAGATGCCTATTAAGACATAAAAATTGATGTGAAACTAGGATGTTGGGCTATGAATAATAGGCCAGATGTTTTAGAAAGGAATTAATGAGTTTTGACATATTACCAGATAACTGAAATTAGCCACTATTTCCCCTAGGTTGTTGGGGTCCAAGGATCCTTTTTGTCATGGATAATACGTTTTATTTGTTAACAAGGTATAGTCAGGTGGCTTGGTCTTACATAAGGCTAAAAATCTGACCCAGAAATTGTTATGTAAATGTCACATAAACAAGTTACTTTATTTCTATTAATGGTTACACATCAGAGCCTTTACTCAGAATTCTGATTTAATGGCTCTTCCTGTCACTTTTTGTAAGCCTTGAAGGCTTTCAAGCAGTGAATGGTTTGAAAAGTAAAAATCCAGAAGTTCCTGGACTTTGAGACTTTAATAATGGGATGAATTCTATGATCAGTTTATTAGGGTGTTTGGGCAAATTAGCTTTCAGACTTAAATTTTAAAAAGGTCAATCACTGTCACCAAGATTAACTTTTGCACTTGATGGCCAACACAGCTGCGCCTAGCGTGATGTCATGCGACTGTGTGGTCCAAGTCTCATTTGGGGCTGGTTAACTCATTTTATAATGGATGCATTTCTTTACCCAGCATGGACTCTCGGAGCCACACCCTCTTTATTGAGGGCCTTTGATTCATTTCTGTTCTGGCCTCTCCCCATAGATATGTTGGAAGAACTGATTTTTCATAAAAGTTTAACCTTGATTCTGGTGTCTTTATTTCCACGCTCGAACTATTAAGTCACCCACCTGAATTCTGACCATTCCGTTTTTGTTCCCTCTTGGTTCATCCTGCTGCCTGACTTCTCTCCCGTTCCTCCCACAGGAGAGCCTCCCTGCCCCCTGAACACCCCAGGAGAGTACCTCTTGAGAGTTCCAGGTTCTCCACTCTGAAGCTCTGTGGGTAGGCTGAGGCTGGGCCCGGGCAGGCACCGCCTTGCGAAGGGCAGACCTGCCTAGATGACTTGTAGAGGATGCAGAGCTCAGGTATGATGTACAGCAGCAGGAAAACCCATGCATTGGTGACCAGGGCGATGCAGATGACAGGGTCGTCCCACTGGGGCTGCCGCTGGAGCCGTGGGTTGCCACACAGGAGCATGGAGATCCATATCACCCAGATAACGATGGAGATGAGCACAGTGACGAAGATGAGCCTTCCGTGCTGCTTCCAGTTCTCACACGGGCCACAGAAACTGGCTTTGGAGATGAAGAACGTGGCGGCCATCAGGAGGAGGACATAGACCAGGAGTACCACGAAGTCCACATTGAGCTGACAGGGTGTCAGGTGCACAAACTTCATGCCTCTGGTCATCATGAGACCCACATACTCAATGGCAATGAGCACCTGCAACAGGCTGACACCAAGCGCAATGTACAGAATTGTCACCCAAGAGAAGGAGACTCTACCCCGGACCAGCTTCACCAAGTTGGAGGCATGAGCCAAGAGGCATGAGAAACAGATAGCAAAGAGAACCCCAAAGAGAAAGTAACGTACAGGGGCAGTATGCTCATTGAGGCAGGTGATGAAGGCAAAAGCTAGGCCAAAGAGCCCCAGCACACCCAGGAGGAAGAGAAGCTGGGTGGGAAGAACATTCCACTGGCCGCAGTCTTGGACCCTCCGTATGAGGAAGAGAAATGCTAAGAGCAGTATAATTGTAACCACTATGCCAATGGCTGCCAGGGCCTCTAGCACAATGCACCATGTCCTGTCTGTGTCACAGAGGAGATAATAGTCCTCAATGGACTGGATGCAGTCTTCATACATAGTGGTTTGTAGGTGGACCTCACGAGAATGGACTTCTGTTCCCCTGTAGAAAAGATGAAACCTCAGGACTTTATTATCTATGTACAAAATGCCAGTTGGATATCCCTATTCTGAACACTATGTCCCTTATTCCCAAATGAAGGCAGCTGCCCATACTGAATGAAAGCTATAAACTATCAGACCCTCAAAACTATCTAGCTCCATCCAGCCGGGAAAAGCAGAACAGTCTTCACCTGGGGCTCCAGATAATTCAAATTTTCATGTCACAATTTCCACCAATGCTTTCTGGAGCCTAAGGCAGAATATTTTCCATAAGATTGGGTGTGTGACAACTTCTGCATGATCAATGGGAGTCCATGTAAATTACGCTCCAGAACAAGGGTTATCCTTGTTAATTGGATTGTTCAAGATGCAGAAGCCCTGCTTGAAGGAGACAGGCACACGATTTTTCTTAGTAATTCTAATGCCTGTTCTTTCTTTTAATTTACATCGATCTAATGCAGCATGTTATTGTTAAACAAATACGTGCTACTATTTGTTCATCAAAGAATTATACAAAATGGTCCCTGACTTCAAGTAACTTTTGGAACAGTTTAACACCAAAACTTTGCCTTAGCTAAAGTAGTCCAGGAAAAAATTCCAGATACTCATTTGGAAACACCTTGCAATGGAATACTCCAAGCTCTACTTCTCCTCAGTTATCCCCAGGAATAAATGGCTGGAGTGACCCAGGTTTATAGCTGAGGGACTGGCCACTTCATTCCGACCTACCTTCTCTGTGTCCACACTGGAAGCTGAGGCTCTAGTGGCTGCGAGGTTGTAACTGCCAGTGAGTAAGAAGGACACAGTCCCAGCTTCTTTAATCTCTCCTCAAATGGGCGGAAGGACTGAGGCCCTCACTCAGGTTCCTGCAGTGTCTATAAAAGGGACCGGAAGGTCAGAAAGACACACCTATTCCAGTTTCACGGCAACTTTTCTACAGAGACTTCTTTGGTGAGAACAATTATTTTTCACTCTATTGCTAACTAGAGGCACCTTGGCCTTAGGTAGGTCCTGAGGGGGCATAAATTTTGGAAAGCCTGCTTCCTCCCCTCATGTTCCTCTATGTCCAGGAAGCTGCAAGAGGCCCTCTGTCGGCCTGATAGGAGGATACTTTGTTCTTCTGACCTAATCCCTAAAAAGTCATCTCCAGGGTCTTCCCCACATTTCGATTTTGATCTAAAAGAGCATCCATTCAACAAAGGACCAAGAGTTTTATTGGGCCATAAAAAAGGGTTATGCATTAAAAGAACCAATGGTTGGCGAAATGGTGAGTTAGGGGGAATTTGTCTTCTCTGCCACTCTCTTTTCCCTCAGGCTTGGCCCTCCTGTCAAGTGTGGGCTCCTACCTGGACCAGCTCTTCCTGGTGTGACCTGCCCCCATCCGAACACACTTGTTCATTCCATCCGGGCATTCCCAGAGCACAAGATAGAAGAACTCCTGATTGAAAGTTACCAGCTGACAGAGCGATATCATATCCCTCTTCTCCTATGATGCCCAGTAATGGGGCACCCAGAACAGTGCCCAGTAGTACTGTGGGCCCTGTGCTTTATCGGCTGGTTCTCCCTCTGTCTCACAAAGAAACAAGCTCCCATCTGCTCACCCTCTCTTAGATGTTGTCCCTGACCTGATGTTCCTTTTGCTTGGTTCCCATGTATCCTCTGTGCTTTGTTCCCATTGATTTGGTTTCCTCCCCAAGTACTTTCCCTGCCTCCAAGATCTAATTCATCTCCTCTATGATTTCCTGCCTTCCCTGATGGCTCACTGATCATCTCCCACCATGAACACCACAACACTAGTAGCATCTGTGCTGTTCAAAATTATGGAAGTTATATTTTCTGCCTATTTCATTGCATTCATTAATTTTATTAGTAAATAAAATTAATGAATGAACAAGATTAATAAATAATACATTTTCTAATTTATTGTATTAATCTCATCCCCTTGATTAGATTTATAGCTGCCTGGGGGTCAGCTTCCATGTTCTAAGTCCCCATAGTGCCTGGCTCCAAGTGGAGTATCTCTTACCTGATGGATGGCTTCATTGAAGGATTGTAATGACAGAATTCTAGGCCTTATGAAGGTCCTTCTTAGCAGTGGTTTTTCCCACAGACACTTTAACGGAAACCACCTGCACATAAGTCAGGACCTTAACAAACCCCAGACAACTTAATTTTGAAGTTCTGGCTTTTGAGAGTCCTTACCTTTAAAAAGCCATTTTTGTTTCCTTTGAGAGAAGAATATTCTAGGGAAGGGAGTCCTCCCCTTTACTTGCTTTCTGCATAAATGTGGTCTGTCTAAAGCTGTAAGGCTAATTTAAAGTGTATATTAAGGGTAAAGGGGTTTTCTGAGGAGGAAATGCGACACCCATGAGAAGTCACCCAAAGAGCGGAGTGAGTGGCCGATCCCTGTCAGGAGAGCAGCGGAGGACGTCCCATTTAATTCTTCCAAGAGAAGTATTTTGGTGGCCCCTAATCTCCTCCCACCGCCTTCCAGCCAGCTAGTCCTGGTCCTTCCTCCCTGCTGGGGTGTTCCCATTTCTGGGTCTCTGGTGTGCTTGTCTTCTCTGGAGATTCCTCCTGAGCTCCTGATGGCTGGGGGCAGGTGCTTTAATGGCTTAATGACCACAAAGCCCTTTGAGCACCTTAGATAAAAGAACTCTACTCAGGTACTAATTATCTTTATGTTAAAATCTGAGGTGATAGAATTAACCCATCTGTGCCAGGCCTTAAGGAAATAAGGGCTCCCTTTGCTCACACACATCCACATGACCCACCCCATTTCTTTGGGCTTTTATGTGGCAGAAAGATCACACAGAACAGCTCATATATGGCTTTGATGAATCAGAGTATATTGATTACAATGAGTCCATTAAAAATGGAGATGAGACAGTCAAGAGCCAAATGCCTTTGCCAAACACCTATTTGCATTGTTTCCTTCTTCCAGAATCAGAGCTGGAGGGAATGTGAGAGGTCACCTAACCCTTTCATTAATAATTAATAATGAGGAGGCCAATACTATAACATGAAGAATTTCATAATAAGGAAGGAGAGGTCCAGAGAGATGAAGGGATGTACTCAAGGTCTGGAATGTTAGAGGAGACAGCCAGGATTGTGACTCCTGGCCACATTCTTGCTGCCATACAAGGCTGCCTTTCCCAACACTTTCCACTTCAGGAGGACAGGCACTGAAAGAGACACACCCTTGGACATGACACATGGATCATGACTGGAAAGAAAAAAAGAAATAGATTATGAGAGTCTACCTGCTAGTCTTCTTTCTGCAGTGAGTTCTGCAGCTGTCATGGCTGACCATGTGAGGACAGGCTGGTGAGAGTGCTTGCCAGGAACAGATCATTTGTTCTTGCTCACTGGCGTCTCTGGAGCTGGCTTCATGGGACTGCAATGCTGTGGGTAAAATTGCAATATTTCCAGAATCTCTCACCTGGCCTTAATGCATCTCCATATCAGCAGGTGTTTCCAAGGGGTGAAGAGAAGTAGTCCATCTCCATATCAATAGGTGATTATAAGGGGGAGTGAGGGCATACCTGGACCAGAGAGGTTGGGTGGGGCCCCTTTTGCAGCCAGGTTGAAAGAGACATGGGTGAGCAGAAGTGGATGACTGGTTGTAAGCAATAAACAGGTTTCTCTCACTTTATTTCTACCTTTGACTGATTCTGGCTTCAAAGGTAATTTGCTCTGGGCTGGGAACGTATTTTCCCTCTGGAGTTACAAACACTCATAGTTGTTCAGGGCCCCACTCAGAAGGGTCCTGTGCTTGGAGTTTAATGCTTTGTGGCTACTGTCTTGAAATTTTTATAAGTTCACGTTTGAATTTGCATTTTGTAAGTATAGTTGGATGGAGTGTGTGCTGGGGGTCTGCAGCCTTGGGCTCACTTGCAGTCCTGCCTCCCATTGCCTCCCTGCCTTCCCGAGACAGGTGCTGAGCTGCCCACCTCATGCTACCCCGTGGTGCCCCAGGTCATCTGGCTTCCCCATTTCTGCCCTTGCCCTGTGATTGCTGCCACACTCTGCCTGGGGTCACCTGGCCACCATGGGTTGGAGTGGTGGGACCTGGGAAAGGGGGGAATTGACTTACTACATCCAGGTAGGGCAACACCTTTTCATTTTGCACTAGGTCCTGCAAATTATGTAAGTGGCTCTGGGCATCTCATTAAATTTTTGGCATTTGATGGTCATTTGATTGATAGTACATCAGGATGTTAACACTGTACAGCTTAACTGTATATTAATATAATATGCAGTTGTGAAGAACCGCAGTGTTTTATCTTCATCAACAGATTGTCAATTCTCTCAACTGAGTATCATTCATGAATGTTCAGGTTCTTTTTCAGAAAGGAAGTTATCTGACATTTTTTTTCCAGTTTGTGACTAATAGAACATCTTGATTGAACTAGTATATCAGGTTGTTTTACCTTTATTAGAAGAAAGCAGATGATATGAAAAGTATAGAGGGATGTTCAAGTTCAATGGCTGGATCTGGAAGTGTAAATAGGACAATACTGAAAAAAATGTTGACTAATAAAAATTTTTAATCTATTTGAGCTGTGTTATAAAAAAGAAAAAGCAGATGTAGGACCTTGTAATGCAGGGTATGTAAATATGACTTAATAAAATTTGCAAACCGTAATAGAAATGACGGACAACATATAGTTTATATTGAAATTTTTACAAATGAAAAAGTCTTCTAAATTAAAAACACACCTGGAAAAACAACATCCTATCAGTCACATTTCCTCACATGCTTCCAAAGAAGAATACATAAATTAATCAGTAATTTCTAAGTTGTTTCATTAATTACTATTAATGAAAGAGCCTCATAATATTCTATTGAGTAATATATTAGGTGGCAAAAACTATGGGTTACACAGCTGCTAAAACTATTCTTCTAGAATGTATGGAAGGGGGCAAATGATTTTTGATGATAAAATGAAATCAGCTGACAAATTTATGAGGTTTATAAGCTGACTTATGAGGTTTGATTTATAATT